TCAACCTGTTGATGTTATTATTGGTTCCTTTCTGGATCTAAACTAATCAACCTGTTGATGTTATTATTGGTTCCTTTCTGGATCTAAACTAATCAACCTGTTAATGTTATTATTGGTTCCTTTCTGGATCTAAACTAATCAACCTGTTGATGTTATTATTGGTTCCTTTCTGAACCCTCAGTCCATCAGAGTCCCATTAAAGTGGTTTTATTTCTGCCGCCCAGCCGGCATCACTCAGCTGCTCACCACCGTCCTGCTGCAGCTGAGCTGAAGTCCATCACAGATCTTTGCAGGAGGAGCCCCGCCTCCAGTAATCCCAGTAGTCCCAGTAGTCCTAGGTCCAGCTAGGACTTCAGATAAATTGTGATAAAACCAACAGAAGATGCAGCAAAGCAGCAAACTAAACAGCCTTTTCCTCTCTAATCTTCTTGGTCTTTTGTCCGACTTCAGTTTTTCCTTTTTTTCCTGAGAACTCAATAACCCCCCCCCCCCCCCCCCCCCCCCCCCCCATTCAGGGCTGCATTGTCCAAGCAGTGTTCAAAGCCATATTACAATCAGACTTTTGTGATCAGTTAATCATCCTTATGGTGGAGAAAGAGGAGAGGAGCAAATGATCTCTGACGGCGAAGGACTCTGCTAACGATTTCCATCTAATTGCTCCTCCTCAGTTGGAGAGCGGCGAGGGAGAAGGAGAGGAGGACAAGAGGGCGACAGACGGTGAGAAAAGAGAGGGCGCCGATAATGACCGGCCATTCAGCCTCCAACACTCACCTCTGATAATGATGGCTTAGTCAGGACCGTTTGATCCCCGCCTCTGTCCTCCGCCTGAACCCCCCCCCCACCATTTTAACATGTGCTACATCAGAACAACATGAGAACGTCATTCAATTCAGTTTATTTTCAATTCAGTTAATTTATATAGCGACAATTCACAGAACAGAACAACACGAGAACGACAGAACAATACCAGAAAAACATGAGAACGTCAGAACAACATGAGAACAACGTCAGAAAAACACAACAACAACAGAACAACGCGACAACAACGCGAGAACGTCAGGACAATTAGGGAATGTCAGAACAATACCAGAACAACACGAGAACAACATCGGAACACGGGAACGTCAGAACAATTAGGGAATGTCAGAACAATACCAGAACAACACGAGAACAACATCGGAACACGGGAACGTCAGAACAACACGAGAACATGAGAACATGAGAACATGAGAACAATACGAGAGCGTTAGAACAACACAAGAACAACATCAGAACGACACCAGAAGAACGTGGTGTTATTCTTCCATGTACTGCGGTCTGAGTGAGGCGCCATCTTTGTTTCAACCCAAACAGCCCTCTGGGCTTCAGCCGGAGCAGGAGAAACATCAACATTCACACATAAGGTTTCTGCAGGGCTGGCTCTGCTGCCCCCTGCAGGAGGGGAAGGTAACACCCTAACACTTCAGACTGAACTGATCACATTATGAACCCTACTCTATTTAAACTAAACGTTAAATAAATTCATTTCGTCTGGATGGTTTAATGGGATTCAGCTGATAATGCATCTCTGACGGTTATTAAACCCAAGAAATAAACTGCTGCTGATAGTTGGTGAGTAATCAGAGTAAAAAGCATCCCTCTGATCTCTCCTGACAAAAACCTTTTTCACGCCACAAACAGGAAATGAGGTTGATTTTCTCTCGCCGTCCTGCCTGCCTTTCATTTATTAGCAGAAATAACAGCCGCCTGTTTGAAGCCTCATTTTCTCTCTGATCTCTGCGCCTTCAAAGCTCAGCTTTATTTTTATGCTCTTTATTATCTCTGTTTAACCAACTTCAGGAAAATACCTTAAAGTCTAAAGCTGCTTAAATGCTGCTGTCCTGCAGATTAGTTGAAGAATAAATCTCAGTTTGAACAGTTTTCCTCTCCGGTCAGCGTCAGACGCCATCTTACAGGAACAGGATTCAAAGCAGGCCGCTTATTCCAACATCATAAGACTGAAACCCTGGAATCTATTGGATAAACCAATAAAACTGGAGTCCAGCGTGTCGTTAGGCAGTCTAAGGGTTAACTTCATGGTCAGAAGGCTGAGGCCACTGAAACCAACCAGCCGTCTGCAAACCCTGAAACCTGCTGAACTGCTCCGATTCAGCCTGAAGGCCTGCTTATCTCCTCAAATGAAGCTCCTGACATTTCAGGGGGGGGGGACGGACAGTTTAAGGTCAACGCGTTTAAAGTCTGGAGCAACGATCCCAGAGGAGAACATTTCCCGGCAGGAAACCTTCCTGCTGGCGTTCCAGACATCAGATGAAGAGAGGAGACTCCAGATCTGGCTCAGGGAGGGGGGGGCTGTCCTGTAACCAGTGGGTTGCTGGTTTGAGTCCCGGTCCACTGCTCACTGGGTATTTACCCCCATCATCCCCACTATCATTAAATAATCAACCCACTATGACACTGATTCTCATATTCAGACCCACAATCCTTTGCTGCATCACATGACTGATCCGCCCTCCAGAAGGAAATATGGGTTCATATCGGCTCGATAAGATTAGAAAAGAACGACGATAATGTGGCTAAAAATCAGACATCACTACTAAACAACTGGAGAACAGCACCACCTTCATCATCACCTTCATCATCATCATCACCTTCATCATCATCATCACCATCATCTTCATCACCATCATCATCACCTTCATCATCATCACTTTATCATCACCTTGATCATCATCATCATCATCACCTTCATCATCACCTTCATCATCATCATCACCTTCATCATCATCACCATCATCATCTTCATCACCATCATCATCACCTTCATCATCATCACTTTATCATCACCTTGATCATCATCATCATCATCACCTTCATCATCACCATCATCATTATCATCATAGTCACCTTCATCATCACCATCATCATCATCGTCACCTTCATCATCACCATCATCACCATCATCATCACCTTCATCATCATCATCATCATCATCATCATCATCATCACCTTCATCATCACCATCATCGTCATCATCGTCACCTTCATCATCATCATCACCATCAGCATCACGATCACCATCACCATCATCATCATCACCTTCATCACCATCATCATCATCGTCACCTTCATCATCACGATCATCATCATCATCACCTTCATCATCATCACCATCATCATCTTCATCACCATCATCATCACCTTCATCATCATCACTTTATCATCACCTTGATCATCATCATCATCATCACCTTCATCATCACCATCATCATTATCATCATAGTCACCTTCATCATCATCGTCACCTTCATCATCACCATCATCACCATCATCATCATCATCATCATCATCATCATCATCATCACCTTCATCATCACCATCACCATCATCATCATCACCTTCATCACCATCATCATCATCGTCACCTTCATCATCACGATCATCATCATCATCACCTTCATCATCATCACCATCATCATCTTCATCACCATCATCATCACCTTCATCATCATCACTTTATCATCACCTTGATCATCATCATCATCATCACCATCATCATTATCATCATAGTCACCTTCATCATCACCATCATCATCATCGTCACCTTCATCATCACCATCATCACCATCATCATCATCATCATCATCATCATCATCATCACCTTCATCATCACCATCATCGTCATCATCGTCACCTTCATCATCATCATCACCATCAGCATCACGATCACCATCACCATCATCATCATCACCTTCATCACCATCATCATCATCGTCACCTTCATCATCACGATCATCATCATCATCACCTTCATCAGCATCACGATCACCTTCATCACCATCATCGTCACCTTCATCATCATCATCACCTTCATCACCATCATCATCATCGTCACCTTCATCATCACGATCATCATCATCATCACCTTCATCAGCATCATCACCTTCATCATCATCATCACCATCACGATCACCATCACCATCATCATCATCACCTTCATCACCATCATCATCATCGTCACCTTCATCATCACGATCATCATCATCATCACCTTCATCAGCATCACGATCACCTTCATCACCATCATCGTCACCTTCATCATCATCATCACCTTCATCACCATCATCGTCACCTTCATCATCACGATCATCATCATCATCACCTTCATCAGCATCACGATCACCTTCATCACCATCATCGCCACCTTCATCATCATCATCACCTTCATCACCATCATCATCATCGTCACCTTCATCATCACGATCATCATCATCATCACCTTCATCAGCATCACGATCACCTTCATCACCATCATCGTCACCTTCATCATCACCTTCATCATCATCACCTTCATCATCATGGTCGTCATCATCATCATCGTCACCTTCATCATCACCATCATCATCATCATCACCTTCATCAGCATCACGATCACCTTCATCACCATCATCGTCACCTTCATCATCATCATCACCTTCATCATCATCATCACCTTCATCATCATGGTCGTCATCATCATCATTGTCACCTTCATCATCACCATCATCATCATCATCACCTTCATCAGCATCACGATCACCTTCATCACCATCATCGTCACCTTCATCATCATCATCACCTTCATCATCATCACCTTCATCATCATCATCATCTTCATCATCATCACCTTCATCATCATGGTCGTCATCATCATCATCGTCACCTTCATCATCACCATCATCATCATCATCACCTTCATCAGCATCACGATCACCTTCATCATCATCGTCGTCATCATCATCATCATCACCTTCATCATCATCGTCGTCATCATCATCATCATCCCCTTCATCATCATCATCATCACCTTCATCATCATCACCTTCATCATCATCGTCGTCATCATCACCTCCATCATCATCATAATCCTCATCATCACCATCATCATCATCTTCATCATCAACATCATCATAATCATCATCATCACAGGTATTTCAGAGAGGACCATCTGCCTTTCTACTGACCTGCACCAAGAACCAGGACATGAGCACAGAGACCCAGGGGTTCCCGCTGTGGGACGTCTTCTTAGCCAGAGACAGAACCGTACCTGCAGAGACAGCAGGAGGTCAGCAGGAGGTCAGCAGGAGGACAGCAGGAGGTCAGGAGGTCAGCAGGAGGTCAGCAGGAGGTCAGGAGAAAAAAAACAAGTTAGAAATGAGTCAAACCTGCAGCAATGTTCAGAAAAGAATAAATTTCAATTATCAGCAACATTTTTCTGATTATTGATCTAACAGAAGCTGCAGGATTTACTGATAATAAAAACACTGACTGAGTTTATTTCAACATCTGGAACAAAAACAGACAAAATAAGAAACTCAGATATAGAAATAAAAACACTAAAAATTATTATCATTGTGTATAAAGGCTAAAACTGGACATCCTCAATAAAAAGGAGACAAACTGATCGGGTTTAAAAACTTTCTATTGCTAGAAAAAAGAAGTAAAGCATTTATTGACAGTTTTTGTGAAACTACATCAGTCATCGAACCTTCACCTGCTTTAGTTCTGGATTAAATCTGATTAAAGGCTCAATTTCTATCAGATTATTAATGAATGATTCAAAGAAAAATGGACAGACTGATAAATCAGCAAAGTCTCCTCTAAGAAGCTCAGCCTGTTTTCCAGTGTAGTCCTGTTTCTCTGACTGTGACTAACTGGATGTGCTCTCTTCATCCTCTGACATGGGAGCTGGCTCGGAGCTTGTCTGCCTGGCTGTGTGTTTCCTGGACAGGGCCGCCTGTGGAGCTGGTTGACAGTTGCCTTTTGTATCTATGCTTCTTTTTCTATGTCTGCTTCTGCCTCCTTGAACCCCAGTGGGCCTCAGCAGATGGCCGCTCACACTGAGCCTGGTTCTGCTGGAGGTTTCTTCCTGTTCAAAGGGAGTTTTTCCTCTCCACTGTCGCTACAAGCATGCTTAGTGTGAGGGATTGCTGAAGAGTCAATGAGTCGATGCAATCAGCTGGTTTTCCTTAGATAGAAAACTTTGAATCAATCTTGAAGGAGGCTGTGTTGTCATGGTGACCATTAAGACCTTTGATAGTTGATGGAGGGCAAACCTTCATACTGTACCTAATAAAGTGGCCACGTCTAACAGTGTTTAACTGGCTTTAATAAGGTGACATTTACACAGATTTCTGGGATTGATCCATGACGCTGCAGCGGGTGGCGTGCCCGTGCGTCACTTCCGGCGCCTTTGCTTTGCTGCAGAGCGACTTCCCCTGACGGCCAGTCACCAACAAACCATCAGCTCGTTTGCACAACCTGATTAAACATCAGGGACTCAATAAATAACGCAGTTACGGTATTAAAATTATTTATTTCTATTATGAAATCACTAAAACAATGTTTACTATTTTAGGGAGGGAAAAACGTAATTTGGTCTTTTTACAAAGTGGAATGGAGGGCGAGCTGGATGGTTATGTGGTTGATGATAAGCTGATGGGACGGATCAGGTGGCGTCAACTATCCCTCTGAAGACCGCAGCTCTGATGCTGAGGTTCCAAAATTGCGCCAATGTGAAGAAGAGACGGCAGAACGCCGTCGCCATACCCACCGAATAAGTCATCCTTGGCCAGGGCGTAGAGGATGCGAGAGGCTCCGATGAGATTGCTCATAGCGGCGGACAGCGTGGAGCAGTAAACCCCGGTGATGACGAAGGGATTCCAGATGTTGATGTCTCTCAGGAAACTGTAGTCCCTCTGAAGAAGAACCCTGCAAAGAACAGAAGACAGAGCGTAACCGCCATGGTTCTACTGGAGGAACCTGAACGCAGCGAGGGGACACGGTTCTACTGGAGGAACCTGAACGCAGCGAGCAGACACGGTTCTACTGGAGGAACCTGAACACAGCGAGGGGACAAGGTTCTACTGGAGGAACCTGAACTCAGCGAGGGGACACGGTTCTACGGGAGGAACCTGAACTCAGCGAGGGGACACGGTTCTACTGGAGGAACCTGAACGCAGCGAGCAGACACGGTTCTACTGGAGGAACCTGAACGCAGCGAGCAGACACGGTTCTACTGGAGGAACCTGAACGCAGCGAGGGGACAAGGTTCTACTGGAGGAACCTGAACGCAGCGAGGGGACAAGGTTCTACTGGAGGAACCTGAACGCAGCGAGCAGACACGGTTCTACTGGAGGAACCTGAACGCAGCGAGGGGACAAGGTTCTACTGGAGGAACCTGAACGCAGCGAGCAGACACGGTTCTACTGGAGGAACCTGAACGCAGCGAGCAGACACGGTTCTACGGGAGGAACCTGAACGCAGCGAGGGGACAAGGTTCTACTGGAGGAACCTGAACTCAGCGAGGGGACACGGTTCTACGGGAGGAACCTGAACTCAGCGAGGGGACACGGTTCTACTGGAGGAACCTGAACGCAGCGAGCAGACACGGTTCAACTGGAGGAACCTGAACGCAGCGAGCAGACACGGTTCTACGGGAGGAACCTGAACGCAGCGAGGGGACAAGGTTCTACTGGAGGAACCTGAACTCAGCGAGGGGACACGGTTCTACGGGAGGAACCTGAACTCAGCGAGGGGACACGGTTCTACTGGAGGAACCTGAACGCAGCGAGCAGACACGGTTCTACTGGAGGAACCTGAACGCAGCGAGCAGACACGGTTCTACGGGAGGAACCTGAACGCAGCGAGGGGACAAGGTTCTACTGGAGGAACCTGAACGCAGCGAGGGGACACGGTTCTACTGGAGGAACCTGAACGCAGCGAGGGGACACGGTTCTACTGGAGGAACCTGAACGCAGCGAGGGGACACGGTTCTACTGGAGGAACCTGAACGCAGCGAGCAGACACGGTTCTACGGGAGGAACCTGAACTCAGCGAGGGGACACGGTTCTACTGGAGGAACCTGAACGCAGCGAGCAGACACGGTTCTACTGGAGGAACCTGAACGCAGCGAGCAGACACGGTTCTACTGGAGGAACCTGAACGCAGCGAGGGGACAAGGTTCTACTGGAGGAACCTGAACGCAGCGAGCAGACACGGTTCTACTGGAGGAACCTGAACGCAGCGAGCAGACACGGTTCTACGGGAGGAACCTGAACGCAGCGAGGGGACAAGGTTCTACTGGAGGAACCTGAACTCAGCGAGGGGACACGGTTCTACGGGAGGAACCTGAACTCAGCGAGGGGACACGGTTCTACTGGAGGAACCTGAACGCAGCGAGCAGACACGGTTCAACTGGAGGAACCTGAACGCAGCGAGCAGACACGGTTCTACGGGAGGAACCTGAACGCAGCGAGGGGACAAGGTTCTACTGGAGGAACCTGAACTCAGCGAGGGGACACGGTTCTACGGGAGGAACCTGAACTCAGCGAGGGGACACGGTTCTACTGGAGGAACCTGAACGCAGCGAGCAGACACGGTTCTACTGGAGGAACCTGAACGCAGCGAGCAGACACGGTTCTACGGGAGGAACCTGAACGCAGCGAGGGGACAAGGTTCTACTGGAGGAACCTGAACGCAGCGAGGGGACACGGTTCTACTGGAGGAACCTGAACGCAGCGAGGGGACACGGTTCTACGGAAGGAACCTGAACTCAGCGAGGGGACACGGTTCTACTGGAGGAACCTGAACGCAGCGAGCAGACACGGTTCAACTGGAGGAACCTGAACGCAGCGAGCAGACACGGTTCTACGGGAGGAACCTGAACGCAGCGAGGGGACAAGGTTCTACTGGAGGAACCTGAACTCAGCGAGGGGACACGGTTCTACGGGAGGAACCTGAACTCAGCGAGGGGACACGGTTCTACTGGAGGAACCTGAACGCAGCGAGCAGACACGGTTCTACTGGAGGAACCTGAACGCAGCGAGCAGACACGGTTCTACGGGAGGAACCTGAACGCAGCGAGGGGACAAGGTTCTACTGGAGGAACCTGAACGCAGCGAGGGGACACGGTTCTACTGGAGGAACCTGAACGCAGCGAGGGGACACGGTTCTACTGGAGGAACCTGAACGCAGCGAGGGGACACGGTTCTACTGGAGGAACCTGAACGCAGCGAGCAGACACGGTTCTACGGGAGGAACCTGAACTCAGCGAGGGGACACGGTTCTACTGGAGGAACCTGAACGCAGCGAGCAGACACGGTTCTACTGGAGGAACCTGAACGCAGCGAGCAGACACGGTTCTACTGGAGGAACCTGAACGCAGCGAGGGGACAAGGTTCTACTGGAGGAACCTGAACGCAGCGAGCAGACACGGTTCTACTGGAGGAACCTGAACGCAGCGAGCAGACACGGTTCTACGGGAGGAACCTGAACGCAGCGAGGGGACAAGGTTCTACTGGAGGAACCTGAACTCAGCGAGGGGACACGGTTCTACGGGAGGAACCTGAACTCAGCGAGGGGACACGGTTCTACTGGAGGAACCTGAACGCAGCGAGCAGACACGGTTCAACTGGAGGAACCTGAACGCAGCGAGCAGACACGGTTCTACGGGAGGAACCTGAACGCAGCGAGGGGACAAGGTTCTACTGGAGGAACCTGAACTCAGCGAGGGGACACGGTTCTACGGGAGGAACCTGAACTCAGCGAGGGGACACGGTTCTACTGGAGGAACCTGAACGCAGCGAGCAGACACGGTTCTACTGGAGGAACCTGAACGCAGCGAGCAGACACGGTTCTACGGGAGGAACCTGAACGCAGCGAGGGGACAAGGTTCTACTGGAGGAACCTGAACGCAGCGAGGGGACACGGTTCTACTGGAGGAACCTGAACGCAGCGAGGGGACACGGTTCTACGGAAGGAACCTGAACTCAGCGAGGGGACACGGTTCTACTGGAGGAACCTGAACGCAGCGAGCAGACACGGTTCAACTGGAGGAACCTGAACGCAGCGAGCAGACACGGTTCTACGGGAGGAACCTGAACGCAGCGAGGGGACAAGGTTCTACTGGAGGAACCTGAACTCAGCGAGGGGACACGGTTCTACGGGAGGAACCTGAACTCAGCGAGGGGACACGGTTCTACTGGAGGAACCTGAACGCAGCGAGCAGACACGGTTCTACTGGAGGAACCTGAACGCAGCGAGCAGACACGGTTCTACGGGAGGAACCTGAACGCAGCGAGGGGACAAGGTTCTACTGGAGGAACCTGAACGCAGCGAGGGGACACGGTTCTACTGGAGGAACCTGAACGCAGCGAGGGGACACGGTTCTACTGGAGGAACCTGAACGCAGCGAGGGGACACGGTTCTACTGGAGGAACCTGAACGCAGCGAGGGGACACGGTTCTACTGGAGGAACCTGAACGCAGCAAGGGGACACGGTTCTACGGGAGAACCTGAACGCAGCGAGGGGACACGGTTCTACTGGAGGAACCTGAACGCAGCGAGGGGACACGGTTCTACTGGAGGAACCTGAACGCAGCGAGCAGACACGGTTCTACTGGAGGAACCTGAACGCAGCGAGCAGACACGGTTCTACGGGAGGAACCTGAACGCAGCGAGGGGACAAGGTTCTACTGGAGGAACCTGAACTCAGCGAGGGGACACGGTTCTACGGGAGGAACCTGAACTCAGCGAGGGGACACGGTTCTACTGGAGGAACCTGAACGCAGCGAGCAGACACGGTTCTACTGGAGGAACCTGAACGCAGCGAGCAGACACGGTTCTACGGGAGGAACCTGAACGCAGCGAGGGGACAAGGTTCTACTGGAGGAACCTGAACTCAGCGAGGGGACACGGTTCTACGGGAGGAACCTGAACTCAGCGAGGGGACACGGTTCTACTGGAGGAACCTGAACGCAGCGAGCAGACACGGTTCAACTGGAGGAACCTGAACGCAGCGAGCAGACACGGTTCTACGGGAGGAACCTGAACGCAGCGAGCAGACACGGTTCTACTGGAGGAACCTGAACGCAGCGAGCAGACACGGTTCTACGGGAGGAACCTGAACGCAGCGAGGGGACAAGGTTCTACTGGAGGAACCTGAACTCAGCGAGGGGACACGGTTCTACGGGAGGAACCTGAACTCAGCGAGGGGACACGGTTCTACTGGAGGAACCTGAACGCAGCGAGCAGACACGGTTCAACTGGAGGAACCTGAACGCAGCGAGCAGACACGGTTCTACGGGAGGAACCTGAACGCAGCGAGGGGACAAGGTTCTACTGGAGGAACCTGAACTCAGCGAGGGGACACGGTTCTACGGGAGGAACCTGAACTCAGCGAGGGGACACGGTTCTACTGGAGGAACCTGAACGCAGCGAGCAGACACGGTTCTACTGGAGGAACCTGAACGCAGCGAGCAGACACGGTTCTACGGGAGGAACCTGAACGCAGCGAGGGGACAAGGTTCTACTGGAGGAACCTGAACGCAGCGAGGGGACACGGTTCTACTGGAGGAACCTGAACGCAGCGAGGGGACACGGTTCTACTGGAGGAACCTGAACGCAGCGAGGGGACACGGTTCTACTGGAGGAACCTGAACGCAGCGAGGGGACACGGTTCTACTGGAGGAACCTGAACGCAGCAAGGGGACACGGTTCTACGGGAGAACCTGAACGCAGCGAGGGGACACGGTTCTACGGGAGGAACCTGAACGCAGCGAGGGGACACGGTTCTACGGGAGAACCTGAACGCAGCGAGGGGACACGGTTCTACTGGAGGAACCTGAATGCAGCGAGTCGATATGGTTCTACGGGAGAACCTGAACGCAGCAAGCAGACAAGGTTCTACTGGAGGAACCTGAACGCAGCGA